CCCTAGCCGTCGCACAGCACTTTCAGTTCCGCACAGATGTCTAGCTCTCTCCAGGCCCCGCTTAGAGCAGCCTCCTGGGCCAGCTCTGTCACCTCCCCTAGGGAGCCGACCCTAACACCCGTCCCCACCTTACAGCTTGCAGCATGCCACTGCTGTCCTTACTGGGTTCCTACAGCGGCGAGCTTGGAGAGTTGGCGTCGTGTAGTGAGGACAAGGTAAGCGATGAGATCAGGCAAATATGGGCTCCGCCTCCATCCCCACCACTTAGGGCTGTGACCTCAAGGAGGCGACTTAACCCCTCTGTGCCTCTAATTTTTGGCAGTGAGGGGCAGGTGCCACACATCTACTGACTGGTTTCTGATGAGGTTTGTCAGGTTCCCCTGGTCTCAGAACCCCAGGTTTGGCCTGGGCTGCTTGCCAGGTCATCACAGGACCCATATTTTAACCGCACTGAATATCTGGTCTTTCCAAACTGCAAACTTAAACATGCCACCCTCGGCTTCCTGTTGTCCCCGGGAGGAAGTCTGCTCTGTCCAGCACCCATGGGTCCTGGGGTCTGGTCGCAGCTGCCCCGGGCGCCCTTCCCTTCCGGCTCGCGTACGCCAGGAACACCGGCGACAATGGCTGCTCCGCAGGCCACACTTCCTCCTGCCACCGGCTTCTTCCAAGGCCCATCCCATGGCCAGTCCCAACTCGGCCTCCAGCTTCCAGCCGCCATGCCACCTCCCCAGGGAAGTGTTTGAACCAGCCCCTGGGCTCCTCTGTGGCTATGGGGGAGCGGTTAGGGTGAGAGTGGGTGGGAGAAGCAGGGTGTCCTTTAGAGGTCTCCCTTTACTCTGTAACTGCTTCTCTGTTTCTGCCAGATGGACATCCCTCTGTCCTTGCTCCACGGGAACCCCAGGTCACAGCCCAGGGCAGGTTTGTGGAATGCAAGAGAGGAGGAGGCCTGATCCACCCACTCTAGCCCTGTGACCCCATTCAGCCTCAGGCCCCGCCCACAACCTGCCCCTTCACTAGCCCCGCCCCGCACTGGCCACGCCCTTTCACCAAGCCACGCCCCTCCCACGCTGCCCCTTGCAGACTGCATTACCAGTGCCCGTGGTCCATGTGCTGTCGGATGAGGGTGTGCGGGGCCACCGTCCCGTACTTGTCCACCTCGGGCATGTTCATGTCATCGATGAAATAGATGAGCTTCTTGGTGCCTGGTGGCCCGAAGTTCCTCCCTGATTTCTTCTCTAGCGGCTTCTCGAGAACCCCTAGAGAGGGAGCTGGTTGGCCACCAGTGCAGGGTGGATCCCGGGAGCAGTACCGGACCCAGAGCCCCCAGCAGCGGGTGCAGCAGCTCAGGCAGTGGCCCTAGAGGAGGCCCCCAGGGTGGGTGCGTTCACCTCCATCCACCCTCGGGGGTAAAGGAGTGAGTGGTGGGCACCATCGATGGGAGGCAATGGAGGCAGAAACCTTGTTCCCTGTCAACTTTGGGGCCACCTCTGATCAGTTTATCAGAGGAGCTCCCTGTGGGGTCTGCCTGGGAGCACTGGGAAGAGGGGCCTGGCTGCACTCTGTACCCCTTACTCTGGGGATGGAAGCTGGTGGGCAGGGGTGTGGGAAATGGAGAGGCAGCTGGCAAGCCCCTGGGTCTGTGATGAGAAGAGACAACAGGAAATGCGGGGAGGGAGCAGCCATGTGGTTTGTGTGTCCAGGCCAGGCTGTGAGGACCCACCCTAGTCCTCGACCTCACCCTGCAGCTCTGCTCCGGCCTCAGCCCCAGCCTGCACCCCCAGCCCCAGCCTGCACCCCGGCCCCACCCTGCACCCCTGGCCTCATCCTGCAACCCCCAGCCTCACCCTGTACCTGGCCTCATCCTGCACCCCCCGGCCTCACCCTGTACCCCGGGGCTCCACCCTGTAACCTGGACCCACGCTGCACCCCTGGCCTCACCCTGTAC